TGTCTGGTCCTGCACCATCCTCACAATCATATTTGAGGCCATTGTTGCAGCTACTGTGTCAATCCATCTTGTTGAGGGTCTTCCTCTTTCTCACTTATCCTCTACTTTACCAAGCATGATGTCCTTCTCCAGGAACTGATCCCTTTTGATAATATGTCCCAAGTATGTGAGACATAGTCTTGCCATCCTTGCTTCTAAGGAGCATTCTAGCTTTATTTCTTCCAAGACAGATTTGTTTGTTCACACTTATTAGTAAACTAAAAAAGATTGGGTAAAATTTACTAAACTTTAATTTGAAAGCAATCAAATAAATCCAAGGAGGGGAAGAAATCTTAATCCCTGTGACTCCTAGCCCCTGGCTCCCCAGGATGGGTTCTGCTTGCTCATGTAGAAGGAAGAGATCTAGGCTGAGACAAAGGGCAAGAGTCTAGCTCTGGCCAGCTGTGTGACCTTGGCCAGTTGCTTCCCCTTTCTGAACCTCTATCTTCACCATCTTACAATGGAAAAGAAAATAGAACTACTCTGTAGGGTGATCGTAGGGGAGCTAGTCAGCTGAGGAATATGGAAATGCTTCAGAACGTGGGACAATAAAATTGCAATTCATATATTTTCAGCCTTCCTTGGTTTCTAATAAATGCTTTTACAACTATAAATTTTCCTCTGCATACCACTTTGGCTGCATCCACAGATCCTAATAGGTGGCTTTAATGGTCAGTTAGTTCTAAAGGTGGAATTTAGTTCACAATTTCCTCTTCAACTTTGAAGACAATATTACCTGTTCCAGCATCCTGAAAGTTTTTTGTGCTTTGCCTAGGCCTTCCCTCCTGCCTGGGAGCCAGTTCACTCTCTCTGTCTCTCCCTGCACAGTGGTCCACGCCGTGGATGGCACAGCGGAGAATGGTATCCACCCACTGAGCTCCTCCGAGGTGGACGAACTCATCCACAAGGCAGACGAGATCACACTGAGCGAGGCAGGGTCCACAGCCGGGGCATCAGAGACCCGGGGGGCAGTGGAGGAGGCCATCCGGACCACGCCCTCCCGTCGGGAGATCACTGGGGTGCAGGCTCAGCCGGGTGAGGCCACGTCGGGCCCACCAGGGGTCCGACCTGGCCAGGAGCCCCCAGTCACCATGATCTTCATGGGCTACCAGAATGTGGAGGATGAGGCTGAGACCAAGAAGGTGCTGGGGCTTCAGGACACCATCACAGCAGAGCTGGTGGTCATCGAGGACGCCGCCGAGCCCAAGGAGCCCGCACCGCCCAACGGCAGTGCTGCCGAGCCCCCCGCCACTACAGGCTCCAGGGAGGAGAACCGGGCAGGGCCCGAGGCCACCGTCAGCGACCCCCAGGACCTAGACATGAAGAAGCAGCGCTGTAAATGCTGCTCAATCATGTGAGCTGGCCCAGCCCCCAGACCCTGGCCCCGCCCTCCGAGCCACCGACACCCACCAGCCCGGCCCCTCCCGGCGCCTGCCCACCCTTCACCTACCACCTCATGGGTCCCAGGACGCACGGTGTTGTCACTTCCTTCTGATTTTTCTTTCATTGGAAAGAGAGGGACAGGGGTCCCCCACCCCATCACCACCCCCCAACGCCCATCCTGAACCACTGAGCCAGGCGCCTGCGCCTGGTGGGAGAGAGATGCAGACAGACCTGCTTTTCCTGAAACAAGGAAACCCCCCCCACCACATCGTGGCAGCTTCACCGATGCGGGTCACACCCACGATGGTCTCCGTGGTGTAACCAGTGGCCTCAACGTGGCCTCAGCCAGCCTGCCACCCTCTGGGCTTCCTTCCCGTGCCTTTCTGCCACTTCCGCCAAGGTCTCCTAGAGTAAGGCCTGCCGGAGGGGGTCTCTACCAAGAAGAGGTTTCTGGCGGGGTTTCTGGCAAAGGCGCTGGTGTCTCCAACAGGGGCAGTGGGCTGAGGCTATACCTCTTTGGGGAGTCTCGGTTGGACACCAGGCTCAAGGTCTTGGGACAGAGGATGGGCCCCTCTGGGCACCCCAGCCTGATGTGCCCCCTCCTCCCCCACGCCCTCCTTGGGACTGCCTAGTAGATGATGGAGCCTGGAGGGGGGAGGGGAGCCCTGGAGACACGTCCCCCCAACTCCAGCTGGGTCTGTAGCCCCAGGCTTCCGTCTGCATGGGGCGGGCTAGGGGTCTTTGCGCTGCCCCTGTCCAAGGCAGGGACCATGTGAGCCACTTTTGGTCCCCAGCTCCCACCCTCACTGGGCCCTCCTTCCTCCTGGTGCTAATTTGGGGACCCTGGGGGGCTTCCCCTGGCCTCTTATCCACTCTGCTTGGGCCAGGGTCCTGAGTCCCCCACCCGACCACACCCCAGAGACCAGGCCCTACCTGCCAGCCCTGCTCGACTTGGAGCATTTGCAGGTAGTGGAGTGGGGTGTACAAAGCCTGTCGGGGAGGCTTCTGGAGCAGGGGACCCCCATTTGCTGCCCAGCCTGAGGTGAGCCTGCTCCCTGCCCCCCCCTTGCTGGAAGGGGTGAGGGGCTCCCCTGCTGGGGGCAGCCAACACTCAATGTGCACTCATCTCCCTGGGTGCAGCCACACTTGTTCCCAGAGGCACATTCATGCACATTGTCACAGATACCCTCCTCTCACATGTTGGCTTTGAACCACCAGGCCCCATCTTGTCCCCTTCCCTAGGGGTCTCCAGCCTGGTGCCCAGTGCCCAGGCCACCTCCCCCAGTCTCAGCAGGGTGGGGGCAGGAGCCACCTCTGTCCTGAGCCTGGTTCTAGTCTCAGCTCAGCCCCTCTTGGTGGCCAGGAGGAAAGGCCCCCTCTTAGGGGTGCCCCTGGGCAGTGGCTGTGGACCCCTCCTCTCCCTTCAGTCTGCCCCAAGTCCCTCGAGCTGTGAGCCTCCGCTGAAGTGCCCTTGCTGCCCCCTTTCTGCTTTTGATGTGCGACAAGACCCCGATGTTCTTGATTTTCCCAGAGAAGCAAATAAACAGTGTGAACAGCTGACTTCCTGGAGTTCTTGGATTTCCCCTGGGTGGGGAGGGTGTGTCCAAGCCAAAGGGTGGGGCCTGGCCACAGCAGTGGAGCCATTAAAGGGAAGGCTGAGCCTGCGGCCCGCTCCTTCTGCTCACCCTGTGTGCTGTGGGGTGGGAGGAATTGGTGCACTCCACACCTGGCACCTGACTCCATCATCCACCTACACCTGTGCCCACCTGAGCAGCACCTGGCCAGGTAAGGCCTGGGGGGGGGAGGGCAGCTGCTGGGCAGCAGACCTGCTTTCTGTTTCCCATGAAGCCCTTGATTTCTGCACCTGTCCCTGCACTGTCCTTTGGCTGTGAGTCTCCCCTTTGGTGGGTTCACAGCCCCCAGAGGGGGAGGAGGCGTCCCCACAGGCCCCCAAGCTCTGCAGAGAAACCAGTCCCTGGGAAATGGATGAAGGGACAGGATAGGGAGTGTTTATGGGGGCTGCCTTTATGCTCAGGGAAAAGGTCTTCTCTGAATTCTGTCTCAATGTGACCTTGGAGAAGTCACCATCCCTCTGGGCCTCAGTGTCCCCATCTGTAAAATGGGCTTTACGAACTCTGAGTAGGAGGCCAGACCTGGTCTGGGAGCAGGACAATTGGTTCATCGTTTCCACAGTAGCCTTAGCATGCTGAGTGACCTCCTGTCTTTGCCCTACTCAGGCCTCAGTTTCCCCATTGAACAATGGGGAGGTGAGGATGGTAGAATGCATAAGGTGGTGGGGACCTCTGGTTCAAATCCCAGCCTCACCACTGACCACTCTGTGCCTTGGACAGGATTTTAAGCTTTCTGTGCCTCAGTTTCCATATCTGCAAAACCGGGATAAAGGTACTTGAAGGGGTGTTGGGAAGAGCCTGCAAGGCTGTGCACCCCAGGTTTGACACAACCAGTACTGTGTTACAAGCTCGAGCTATTACTCTGGGCTGGCCCCTTTTTCCGGATCGTTTTCAAACCCCCCCCCCACCTGGTGCAGCTTCCAGTCTGGGGGCCCATTTGAATGAAGAAGAGACTGAGGTTCAGAGGGGCCCCGTAGCCAGGTCAGGACCAAGCCGCAGCCTGTAGGCTGTAGAGTGTGGGATGGAAAACAGAGCCCTCTTACTGTGTCCCCTCCCCCTCGGAGACCTGCCATCCACCTCGAGCCTCGATGTCCCCATCTGTCATGTCAGTGGGCCTGGGCCTTTCTCATCCAGCCAGCATTTACAGGCACTTTTGATATCCTCGTTGGGCCCTTTACGTGGAAGGAGCTTGGGGAATACTCCCAACGGCCCTGAGGGAGCAGCTGCTGGAACGTCCCCATTTCACAGAGAAAACCAAGGCTCAGAGAGGTTATACAGGATTCGAACCCAGGCCCAGCTGACCCCCACAGAGGTGTGAGAAAGAGGCTGCCTGGTGCGGGGGATGGAGCCAGGTGGAAAAGTGGGGGTTTGGGCTCAGCCCTTCCAAAACATGCAGCTGGTGCATGGGCATGGCTGTGTGACCCCGGGCAAGTGACGCGCCCTCTCTGAGGCTCGATTTCCTCATCTGTAAAGTGGGAGACCTCCCAGTGTGAGTGATGCTGACGGACCAGGGGAGTTCCACCCCCAGGCGGGCATATGGGCCAAGGGCAGCTCCAGCGGGCACACCGCCCGCCCTCGCCCTGCTGAGTATCGTCTTTCTCCCGCTCGCTCTGGACTTTGTTTCCCGGCCTGGGTGGGGCCGGGAGGAGGGGTACACCTGCCGTCCCCGGGCGGGGCCTCAGTCCCCTGGCAACCTGGTGGCCAGGGCGGGGCGGGAGGCCTCCGTGGGCACCGAAGGAGCCGGCGCCGAGGCTTGGAGCCGCAGGGGTTGAAGCCAGCAGGTGAGGCTGGGGGCTCGGGGGACACAGGAGGGGCATGAAGCTGGGCGGGGGTCCTGTGAGGAGTGGGGGTCCCGTAAGGAGTGGGGTGCTGTGAGGGGTGAGGTCCTGTGAGGAGTGGGGGTCCTGTGAGGGGTGGAGGTGCTGTGAGGGGTGGAGGTGCTGTGAGGGGTGGGGGTCCTGTTAGGAGTGGGGTCCTATGAGGGGTCGGGGGTGCTGTGAGAGGTGGGGGTACTGTGAGGGGTGGGGTGCTGTGAGGAGTGGGGTCCTGTGAGGAGTGCGGTGCTGTGAGGAGTGGGGTCCTGTGGGGAGTGGGGTGCTGTGAGGAGTGGGGTGCTCTGAGAGGTGAGGGTCCTGTGAGGGGTGAGGTTGCTGTGAGGTGTGAGGGTGCTGTGAGAGGTAGGGGTGCTGTGAGGAGTGTAGGGGCTGTGAAGAGTGAGGGTGCTGTGGTGGGTGGGGTCCTGTAAGAAGTGGGATCCTGTGAGGTGGTGGTGGGTCCTGTGCGGAGTGGGGTTCTGTGGTGGTGGGGGCGCTGTGAGGTATGGGGTCCTGTGAGGAGTGGGGTCCTGTGAGGGGTGGGGGTGCTATGAGGAGTGGGGTGCTGTGAGGAGTAGGGTCTTGTGAAGAGTGGGTTCCTGTGAGAAGTGAGGTGCTCTGAGAGGTGAGGGTCCTGTGAGGGATAGGGGTGCTATGAGGAGTGAGGTCCTGTGAGAAGTGGGGGTGCTTTAAGGGGTGGCATCCTGTGAAGGGTGGACTGCTGTTAGGAGTGGGGTCCTGTGAGGGGTGAGGTTGCTGTGAGGGGTGAGGGTGCTGTGAGAGGTGAGGGTGCTGTGAGGGGTGAGGGTGCTGTGAGGGGTGAAGGTCCTTGCGGGGTGGGGGTGCTGGGTGAGGTGGGGGCCCTGTGCGGGGT